CTGATATATAAAAATATCGATATAGTTTTTTGGCTTTAGAAGCCTCCAGAATATGATCCAATCAATATAGTTCCTGGGCTTTAGAACCCTTCAGGATTTATTCCTGATATATAAAAATATCAATATAGTTTTTGAATTTTAGAAACCTCCAGAATATGATCCTGATATACTGTCCCAAAACCCCCAGAATGATATTGTGTGAAGCTCTGCTTCTGCTGACGAAGAGAAAGATAGTTGGGCTAAAGGGGAACAACAAGCAAGTTTTAAACATACTCCCTATCAAAGTTTAAGGCTACCTGCAAACCAAAATTCTCTACAACACTCTACTCTTTGTTCTTTACGAAATTTTAACAAAAAGTAGGAAATCCGGCGGACCCTTATCAAAAGATCGACAACAACAATTGCTGCCGAAAAAGGAAAGTCACATACAGAAATACATATCTACTTTGGGTGAATATCGTACGATTATATCCAAAAATTGGAAACACATAAATATATTGCAGAATGCTGTATAACAACTTGTTGAAACTGCAAGAGAAATTTTGAACTTGGATCTCTACTCAAGAATAGATATTTTATATATCCTAATATAGGCATAAATAACTAGTATAGAGTTTAGACTAGTTTTTTAGTAGCACTATATAATTTTTATAGTCTGGCACGGACTTAATAGTGCTACTCTTATCACCTTTTCTTTTATTTTGTTTTTTCTTTTCTTTATGTTGTTTTTAGTTTTATTTGTTTTAGTTAGGTTGAATTTTATTATTGTATTTATTTTTTTTTGTTTTATTTTGCTCTTTGTTTTTGTGTATGTGTTCTTATTACTAAAAAGAAAAGCCAACATCGTGGCGAGTGGCTTGTAGTCACCAGCTGAAGATTGAAGAGAAAAAAGTTCTCAGAAAGTTGAAGACCTGAATTGAGGCCAATAACTACTGAAGCAGGCTATATCAGGCTAAAGATAGGGCTAAAGCTTGGTGAGCTATAGGTTTGGTAGATTAATATATAGCTAAAAGAGAAATTCTTATAATTTGTTGAATAATTATGATTTTAAATAAACGATAGCAAGCAGCCAAATTATAAAAAAAAAAAATTATTATCTTGTAAATATTTTAGTTATACAATAGTTTATATAATAAAATTCTTAATTTGATTATCTTATAGTTTAATAAATTGAACTACAAACAAGATATAGAGTAAATAAAACAAATTCAAAAAATCAAAAAAAAATTCAAAAAAAATTTATACAAATAATACTAATTAATAATAATTTTAAAACATTTTACTACCGTAAATTCTCAGAATAGTGGGCATAAGTGTTATTTTGAGTTTTGGCCTGAATTAAGCCTAATTTAGGCCAAATTTCATAATTTCACTCCTGGGCGCTATTCCGAAAATTTACGGTATAATCTTAAACACATAATTAATTATACTGTTTTTTTATTTAATTAGTTTTGTTTATTATTAATTATATTACTATTGATGCTAAATACTTGCTTACTAGGAATACTTATTACTAAAATTAGAAAATAGTTTTTTGCAAATCTTGAAATATTAGAATAAGTTTTTATTTGTTTATTATTATTTTAATAAATTATAATCTGGGTTTATATATAATATTATTAATATATATTTAATTTTTATTTTTTTTAATTTTAAGGTGATCTCTTGATTATATTGCATTTTTATTATATTAGGATATTATTATATATATTTGGAAAATATATCTAGTTATACTTGTATTTTTTGAGTATCTATTTAAGTAGTTTATCTATTTCTAGATTTTATACTATTTGCTATACCTGCAATTTAACTAGAATATTATCTATTTAACCCTTTACATATATATACTCTAAGGTCTATATCAATTAGCATTATTCTTCTGGTTCTAAGAACTAGTCTTCTTATTTCATATTTTATATACTGACTTAGAATTATTTTATTTTCAAAATAAATTTGGCAAAGTCTGTAGTATTTTTATTCTTACTATATCTAGTCTGCATTTCAATTTGTTATATATAGATCATGATCTATCACTTATAGCTTAGTTTTATTTATTCTGAAAATATGTAATATTAGGTTGAAGTTTTGTTTATAGTTTTTTCTCTAGTTTTAATCTTTCTTTTGCTTTCTATTTATAATATAATCCTAGTTTGGCTGAACTTTGCTATTCAAACCTACTTTTGCTCTTATAAAGTTTACTCAAACTTCAAAACTTACTTTATAGTATATCTCTAATATTTTAGTAATCTAGCTTTCTTTATCCAGACTTCTAATTTATATAGTCTGATTGTGTCACTCTCTGATTTGATAACAATTTAGTTAGTGTTGGTAATTTTATCTATTTATCCAATAGCAGGAATATCAATTCTAATTTTTAAAATTTTAAGCTAGATAGCCTAATAACTATATACTTTTTCTCTATGTCTAGGCAGATACTCTTTAAAGAGTAGCTAGTAGATTTTTCACTATTATTATATATTTGCAATTATAGAAGCTTTCTAACAGAATTTTTTTTATTTGCAGTGATCTGGTTGATATAGATGTATCCCAATACCCTATATTTTGTCTAGTTTAGTTTATATAAGTTCTATTTCCTGGGTTTAATCTTTATAGTAGTTCTGTCAAAGATCTGTGCTACTTCTCTACTTGGGACTTGAAAAGAAGCTTTTGTATTTGCAATTCTTTAGATTTATACAGCCTGGAAGCTTATCTTGTGTTTGTACTATCTATTATCAGTTTGTATTTCTTTGTATAATATTACTACACATAAATGTTTAAACCTTCTAGTCTTGCTAATATAACTATAGTTATAGACAGAGATATCACAGAATAGTCTTTAAACAAAGTTTGGATATTTTAGATATTTTTAAATATTAAAATTGCTCAAAATTTTATTAAAATAATCTATTTCAATTTTCTAAATAAAAATATTTAAAATTAAATAAAATATATAATTATATTTTTTTAAAATAAATTTTTTAATTATTAAAGCTTAGATAAGCTTTAGACACTTGGATATTTGGATATTAGATATGCTAAAAAAGGCTTTGAATATCAAAAATATACATCTCTAGTTATAGATATTTTATCTCAACTAATTAATTAAATACAGTTAGCTATAATACAAGCAAAATTTTTAAATTTTTGTTATTAATAGAATTTGAACTCTTGACCTGCTACTTGAGAGAGTGACAACTTAATCATTTTACTATATTGCCATACTCTTTATATATTTAATTTATATATTTAAGATTTTTTTTTTTTTTAATTCAGCGGTTCTGCCTATTACTTTTTATTTGGAAGTACTAGAACTTATATCAACAAGAAGATACAATTTTCTATACTATATTCCATGTGAGTAAAGATCAACTCGAGTTAAACTTAGAGAATAATCTATTTAACAGCAATTGGTTTCACATTGGATTCTCAACTTTCTGAGAATATAAATTTCTGATCCTTAGCCCTAGCAACTATATCATTTTGTCAAAAGAGCCAAATTAATGAAGCACAAATATAGAAGAAAAAATAAAACAAAGGTAAAAGGGATGTGATAAAAGATACAAACAAAAAGAAGAAAAAAAAGAGATAAGGAAGTATCGAAAAAAAACAAAAAAACAAAATTTGTCTATCCTAATGATCACTATTATAAATTTGTGAATAACTTGTAAAAATTACATACTACTAAATAAAATAGTTTCTATTCTAAATTTATCTAAATAGTATATAAAAGCTTAAAACCAGTAGAAAAATACTTCTTTGACTATATAATGTAGGGGTTGGTACTTGGTTCTAGTCTCAGAGTATTGTTTATCAGCTTGTTGTATTCGAGGCACATGCCTTGATGTGTTTGTTGTCCTGTTGTACTGATTTAAAAAGTAAATAATACCGACTGTTTTGGTGCACATAATATCGATCTTTTGGAGAGATAAACTAAAATACCTACTTTTTACAAAAAATCTTCGAAAAAAAGTGGTGGGTCAACAAGAATATGTGAGGTTCTTCTTGTAAGAATTACAGTTGTATAGTCCAGTTTTTCAGTTTCTACTTAGTATTCCTGTTCAGAGACCCACAGTGATATTGCTCCCAAAATATTCTTTTGGTTTGGATGTCAAAAGTATAAAGGAGTTTACTAAAAGCTTGATCTAAAAGCATAACCCACTTGTTGTTTATACATCTGCTCCTTGATATTTTATATATATAAAATTTTGTTGATAGCAAGTATGTTTATATAGTACTAGAAATATTTAAATGTCTACTTTGTTGCTTTTTTATATCATTTTTCTGTAGTTCAGTTTATTTTGCTATTGACCAAGGGATTGTCAGAAAGAGTTGTATAAATTGTATTTAAGATATTTTTGTAGATTATATAAAAGTTTTCTGTATATATTTTGATCAAAAAAGTTGTTTATTTATTCTTATATTTGTTTTAATTAGAGTTCCAATCCATTATCCGTTTATCCGTTTATCTATCAGATATCTGGATATCAAATGGATAATCGGATAAAATGGATTAACGGATGGATAACTGAATTATCCAATAAATTATTCGGATTGATGCAAGGAGTAAGTATTAATGCAAGGAGTGCATATTGATCTAACAGTTGATCTAACGGTTGATGTAATGAGTGTTATATGATATAATAGTTAAGATCTAACGGTTGATCTAATAGTTGATCTAATGGTTGTTCTAATCGCTGATCTAACAGCTGATGTGATAGGTGTTATATGATATAACGGTTGATATAATAGTTGATCTAATGGTTGATCTAATGATTTATGTGGTGAATAGAATTTTGATAAGGCAGATATTATATGAAGAAAGCAGAGAGAATTTTCAGATTCGTTAGCACATTCGATTTCTCAGATTACTGTTTCATTAAATGCAAGTGAGTCTTCGAACTTATCATCATCTGTTTAATATGTCCTACTATTACTCAGTGGAATGTTTAGTTTACTACAATAACGATTTAAAGTAGAAGCCGAAAATATAATACCAGATAACAGGCCACCAGTTGGATAGTCATCTTGTAGAGAAATTCTATTAAAAATTTAGAAATTAAATATAGGCTTGGTAGTCTTCTAGTTTTGAAAAGCATCTTAGTTGATATTATAAGTTGAATTTTTGTTCGAACTGTAAATCTTAGACCCATTTTGAGAACTAATGAATATTAACTTCTCTTAAATAGGATGTAGAAAATCAATGTTGGCAATATTGTTCTTTAAATTTATCGAAGAATTTCTGAAAATATTGTAACAGACGATATTGACATTAGTACTACTGGATTAAAGGCAATATTACTATTATATCTCAGAACCTTATACGATTTAATGGTACTATAAGGTAAATAGAAGCCTCGATTCTACATATTTATTATCCATTTGTAGCGAACTCTATAATTAATTATTCGTTATATTCGATATAATAACATTGATACTTTTGTAGTTACTATTGTATAATACAAAATCTTATATGTGGACAAATATAGTAATAAATCTATATAATTTTTATTATATATTAGCAATTAATAATCTAAAATTTGAAATCTAATTAGAGTATATCTGGTCTAACTTCTATTAGCAGTTATTTCTTAGTGATATTAGGTATGTTATTTAATATTATAGATAAATGTTTTAAGTACGAATGTTTCTGCGATTAATTATTATTTAAATAAAAGCTTCTGACAGATATGTTATAATTTTTGGTAGTTGGTAAGACTCTTGGTGATCTGTGAATCTTAGACACTGTAATATCTAAATGGTTAATTAGAAGAATTTTAATCCTATTGTGGGTCTAGCTAGTTCTTTATGGACATATTGTGGCAATTAGCACAAATTCTATGTCTATGTATAAATGTTTGATTAACTTACTAGCCTTTATTTGTTCAATAGAGCTCCGTAGATAAAGCGAAAATGATTAAGTATTACTCTATTCTTTTAAACTACTATTTTATTATTTTTTACTAGTACTAATATCCT